TTTTCCAGGCTGAAGAGTCCCATAGCTCTCAGCCTCTTACCATAAGGTCTGTTTTCCTGACCTCTGATCATACGTGTGGCTCTCCTCTGCACTCTCTCAAACTTTTCCACATCCTTTTTGAATTGTGGATATGTGGAGAGTCTCCCTCCCATGCACCCCCTGGACAAGTTGTCCATGGCTTTTTCTTGCTCTCCGCCCCAGCCCTTGGGCCCCATGCACCACCCTGGCTGGGGAGCACCCCAAGCCCGTGTCCCACTCCCTCCTTTACTATGGGGGCCTTGATTTTTGCCTCCCTCCCCCCAACCCCATAGACTTATCTGCAGGCAGGTACTCTCCATACTGCCTGGCTCTTTCCCACCCATGTCCGTGTGTTTGAGTGCATGTGCACATGGTGACCCTGCGTCTTGCTCCTGGCAGTCCCACGCAGCCCCTTCCAGGCAGGAATGCTACCAGCCTGCAGAGGAAAACCCAGGTCCATGCACAATGCTGTGAATCCAGGACAAAGTGTCCCAGAGTCATGCAGCCCAGGACTGGGACTTGATGATCCCATTCTGGGACTGTCCCGCCCAGTTAGGGATGGGTGGTCACCCTAGCCCAGGGGCGGGCAATTATTTTGGGTGGAGGGCCACTTACCCAATTTTGGCAGGCTGTCTAGGGCTGCATGGGTAGCCTCACCCTTTGACAGGTGCTCCGGTCCCTGGTCACCATCTTGGGACCAATGTCCTAATGTCTTGGGACCCATGTTCCAGGGCCAGCACCAATGGGGCCCAAAGTGGTGCATAGGCTGCCCTTTCTCTTCCCCCCTCTCTTCTCCCCTGCCCTCTCTCTCCCCTCCCCCCCCCTTTATATGCGGTTCCAGCAGGGGGCAGCCATGTGGTCCCAGGCCAGAAGCTCCAGCTGGGACTTCCCGCTGTGGGGCTGGGACTGGGTGGGCCCTGCAGTTGTGGGAGCCTGCCAGGCTTCCCCTGGGTCCTACTGCCCTTGGTTCCTGTCATTTTTGACAGGAACCAAGGGCAGATGAATATTAAATTTCTAAATTTTTTAGGGGCCTCGTGGGCTGGATAGAATGGCCTTATGGGCCATATTTTGCCCACCCCTGCCCTAGCCACAGGGCTGGGGCTAGATTATGCAGGAAAGAAAGCCAAGTTAAATGTACAGGACCCACCTAAAGCCAGTGTTGTATAGTGAAACAAGTAGATGAGGGTGGTATGTATGAGTGAATGTAAAACAGATTAAGTGTTGTTATGCTGCTGCTGACTGTGAGAATGAGACCCAGTGCATGTTCCTGTTGGTCATAGGTGAATTGCAAAGTTTTTTCTTTACTTTTCTGATAGCCCATCTCTTCCTTTTCCTGTCTTTGTGACAAGGTATTTAGCAGAATATGCAGACACATTGGAATCTGGCAGGCTGTGCTGTGAGCACTTCTGGTATAGCCTTCAGCTTGCAACCTCTGAGCTGCCAACTATGCACCTTAGCACCTGCACTGCCCCAGCCCTAGAGTGTGAGTGTGTGTGTGTGTATATATCTCTTAATACATATATTTATAGTTTCATAGTTTCTAGGGTCGGAAGGGAC